GGTCTGCACCCATCTCACAGATGAGGAAACTGAGGCTCCAAGAGTCAGGCACCCGTGGTGAGGGGGAGGTGAGAGTCAGGTGTGGGCGTAGCAGGTGCCTATGGAGAGAGAGAGCAGAGGCAACGGGCTTCAGAGCCATTTACACACCCGCTGGGGGTTGTGAAGCCAGCACCTGGGGACAACACTGTGTCCCCAGCTCAATTCCCAGCAGGTCAGGCATGTCTTATTGCTGCTGGTTGGGGACAGGCCTCTTGTGTTGAGTTAATTTCTTCTCCAGGCACATGGGTCAGGCTCCTCTAGGTGGTTTCTCCCCCACCTCTCCTTCCTCTCTCCTGGGACATTGGGGTCTGCTCTCCTTCCAGGGTCTGGACACCTGGGCCCTGGGGAAGGCACCTGGGGAAGGGCAGTGCCTCAGGATGGACCAAAGAGGGAAGCCCTGCCCGCAGCCACCTTCATTATTATTCGCTTCATTATTTGCTCAGCAAACCATTTATTGATCACCTTGCTAAGCCCAGCTGTGCAAGGCATTGAGGACAGGGTGCTGTGGAAATCACAGGGTCCCCATCCCGCAAGCTGCCATCTGTGGTGCACTCCCAGTTCACCAGACACCGTGCTGAGCATGTTGCGGACTTGATCTCTTCTAAGCTGTACAGCAATCCTGTGAGGTTCCTGTTCGCAAAGGAGCAGACGGAGACTGAGTGTGGCAACGCCGTTTGACCCAGGTAGCAGAGCAGGGTAGAACCCAAGTGTGATTCCAGAGGCTGTGGCCGTCACCCCTCAGTCAGTATCAGTGTGCCCTCTTCACAGACGAGAAAACTGAGACCGAGGAAGGATTAGCAACAGCCAGTGAAAGCCAGAGAGGGTTTGGCTAGCAGCATAGCAGCCAGTGGCTTCTCTGTTCTCCCAGATTCCCTCTGGAGCTCCTTGTGGTCCCTTTCTCAGTCCGGGAATCTGGGCCTTGGAAAATGGATTCTGTTCGGATGGCCAGGGAGAGTAGGACAGCAGGGTATCTGGTGAGAGCATGGCTGTACTCTACCTAGCTTCCAAGCTGACTCTTCCACGCCCCCACTGGGTGAGCTGGGGCAGGTCGCCAAAACCTGTCTGCTGAGCCTGAAGCGTCAGGGATAATAGGAGCCCTTGTGGGGTCGCTGGGAAACGAGATGGCTCCGGCCAAGTCGCTTGCACGTTTGTGAGCTGTAGCTGTCATTGTCATCCGATCGTGATTTTGTAGAATGTGATCATCTCTCCTGGTAACCTTGACTCATTCAGGGCTCTGGTCTCTGTATTCTGTCCCCTCCTGTGGTTGCCTCCCACTAATGAGGAAAAAGGGCAGAGCATCGAGCTGTCTGCCAGCAGTGAGGGTGTGACCTGCACAGAGAAAAGCATGTGTCACAGACAGAGGGACTTTCACAGACGGAACATGCAACAGAATGTTCCCGGCCCCCAAAAGGCCCCCATGTTCCCTCTTGATCACCCCCAACTCCGAGGCAGTTCATCACCCCGACTTCTAGCCGCAGAGGTTCGTGTTGTCACTTTGTGTTCTTTACATAAATGGAGTCGTACTGCAGTAGCACAGTGGTTCTTTTTTGTTTTTTTAAAGACTTATTAGAAAATTTTAACAGCTTTATAGAGATGTAATTCACATACTGTAAAATTAGCCCATTGAAAATGTACAGTCCATTTTAGAGCACCTCAGAAGCTCCGCACCGGTTAGCCATCACCCCGCCCCAGCCCCTGGAAACCGCATCTCTCCACTTTGTCTCCCTGTATTTGTCTTTTCTGGATGTTTCCTATAAATGGCATCGTACACCAAGGGGCCATTTGTGTCTGGCTTCTCCCACTGAGCATCATGTCTTCCAGGTACATCCGTGCTGTGGCATGGATGAGAATCTGGTTCCTGGACAGGTGCAGTGGCTCAAACCTGTAACCCTAGCACTTTGGGAGGCTAAGACAGGTGGATTACCTGAGGTCAGGAGTTTGAGACCAGCCTGGCCAACTGGTGAAACCGCATCTCTATTAAAAATACAAAAGTTAGCTGGGCGTGGTAGCACATGCCTGTAATCCCAGCTACTTGGGAGGCTGAGGCAGGAGAATTGCTTGAACACGGGAGGCGGAGGTTGCAGTGAGCCGAGATCGCGCCGCTGTGCTCCAGCCTGGGCAACAGAGAGCGAGACTCCATCTCAAAAAACCAAAACAGAAAACCTTGTTCCTTTTTATGGCCAAAAAATAATCTTATTTTTTTTCATGGCCAAATAACATCCCATCTCTCTGGTCAGCTGTCCCGAGTCTGCCTCCTCCTTTGGAACTGGGTTCCTGGGAATCTAAAACATGAGTCTGCCCTGACGTGGCTCCTGAGTTTGGCCAGAGGCCATGAGTGTGAGCCCAGCCGAAAGGCCTGGGTGGGAGGGACAGGAGGCCATGCTGGGGACGCAGAGGGACCCAGGACCGGGTCCTGCTGTGCCTCTCCATGCCTCCATCCCTACCCCTCCAGTGCGTAAGGTGGGGCAGCACAGGGGCCAGCGAGGCGTTCATGGAATCTTCCAACTCAAACAGCGTAGAATCCCCCGTGTCTGTTTTGCCTCCTCCTCTCCAGCATCTGTCTTAGTGTTGAATCCCACTTCCAATGACTGTCCCGCCATCTCTTCCCACCCAGAGGTCCTCATTTTCAGTGGGCTGATTTCCTCCGCCTTCCCCACCTGGGCCTGATCCCTTTTTCCCTAGGCACCAGCCTGTGCGCTGGGTCCTTCCCAAGACGCTGCCTGTGGAGGCTCATGGAGCAGAAGGAAAAGGTGAGCAGGAAGCACATTCAGAGAACCCAGGATGGCCTTCTGTGAAGGGCAGGGGAGGAGGGCAGGCAGGTGAGGGAGTGACTGATGCCCCTGCCTGCAAACCTGCAGCCTCTAGGACTCAGCAATACCTCTGCCAGCTACAGGGTGTCCTCCTGTGAAATTCACGCTCCCCTGTCCAGAGCCAAGCTTTTTTTTGCTCCTTTTTTTTTTTTT